TAAAATCTTCCAAGGCATATGATCACTAACTTTTTTATTGTCTAAACCTTCTTGGACATCAAACTAACAGTCAATAACATGTAGTAATATGAAACAATGGAACACTTACCAACAGCAGTGAGCCCATAGAAGTTCATCCTCTCCTTCAGGGTCTTTGTCAGGTCCCTGATGTATTGATCCCTCAGGCTGTTGTAGGGGATGTATTGCACTGGTAATGCGTAAGGTTTGTTCTTTCTCTCCTCGTCTGAGAGCATTACAACAAGTACATGTGTGGCTGCGGGTTGTCGTTTTTCTTGAATAAGTTAGAAGTATATGTTTGAATGGCTGCTTTGTTCCTTTTGTGTATTGAGATGACTTCGTGTACGTTGGTGTTGGATGGGTTCAGGAAAGCCAAGGTGTCATCATATGCCCTTGCAAATTCTTGTGATTGCTCCAGCAGGTGGCTGGTTTCAACTACATCCCAGTTCAGTTCTTTTAGTTTCTCTTGGGGTGTTGTTGGGACCTGCATTTTTTTTTGTTGTAGAGATTGACGGCTTCTGTTAAGGCCTGTTGGAGGAAGTGGCTATCATCATGGAAGGTGTTGACCAGAGTTTTGATTTTTTCTTCTAGAGTGGCCCTTTCCTTGTTGACTTCTAGGTTGTTTACCAGTTCAAGTCGCTGGTCACACTCCTTCCTTAGTTCAGCCAGCTTCCCATCCCTCAGATCGATGTCCCCGTTCCACTCCCCTTTCATAGACTCCTGTAGAGCCGGTTTGATGTCAGTTCCATCTATCTTGATCCAGTATCTTCCTTTCGGATTTGCATGTTTCAGGTCTTTCAAGGCTGACTCCTAAAAGGTAAAAGTGGTTTTTCAGCAGTTAAAATAAGTCTATTTGGTACATGTTGTTTGTTCTGAATGTTGCTGATTTTAGTTGGGTTCAAAATGTCACTGTCAGGTTGTATGGAAGATTGAAGTGCTGAAAGTACAATCTGGAATACAACAAGTTTGAAAAGGCAGCAAATCCAATAGGTACCTCTATGTCTGTTGTGACTGTTGTGCCTGAACTTGCGATGTCATTTGTCACTGTTTGGCGAGCTAGGCTGGCCACATTCACTCTTGCCTGAAAAGAGAAGAATTTGTCATGTTACTACTGGTTCGTTGCGTAATGAATGCTATTCGTGAAACAAAACTCAGACAGAACATACCGAATAAACAGAAAAAGGCATGAAATGAAATGAAATGAAGGGATTGCAAATTCATCTGTGTTGATAGAAAACATTATCTTTGCAATAATGATTTTATTACTAATAGCATTCCAGCCGACAGCAACATTTTAAAATTTTTGTATCATCCTTAACATCTATAAGATATAAAAAAGAAAATGAACTATGTTTAAAGTGGATTCACCTTGATAGGATCCTTCCACTCCTCCCTAGGACAGCCACTCCAGCTTGGGCCCCGGAACAGACGATTGAATCTAGTGCCAAACTCCAGCTCCATCATCACCTGCCACCTCCGGAAGTCATCAGGGAGGGTTATCTATGTTGGCAAACAGTATTACATAATTACTCAAGGATAATCATCATCAGCTGTGTGTGATGGCACTTTGGTCTAGTATGATGTGGTTGTGTAAATGTATGCAACACAACAGGCACAGTTACTTTGGAAGACAGACATCCCTCATGTCCAACGGGACATGGATGCTGTCCCAACGGGGACAGCTTAACGTGTACAGCATGCAGCTGGGGTGCTGCTTAAGGGGAGAGACAGACATCCCTCATGTCCAACGGGACATGGATGCAGCCCAACGGGGTCTGCTTAACTGCAGATTGCTATATAACACCAGCTGTAAATACCTGCTGTACATTAGTGCAACTGAAGAACTCTATCTGATATTGCACCAGGCCAAAGGGCATCCTGTGCAAGGGCATGAGGGGCTCCTCTGTTCCGGGTCTGTTCTGCCCCACACACTGAGCAAACTTATATATTAAATTTGGCTTTCCAACTGTCTGTAGCCTGACCATGGCATCAGACGAAAGAGAGGCAAAGTCAGTGGGATAGG